TGAGCAAGGCACCGAACCCCCAACTGCTCCCCAGGCGCCGCAGCATAAATGGCTGCCCACTGCTCCGGGTGTGTGTTCACGGTGTGTGTGACAGTCCTAATTTGAAAATTTAGTCAAAGTTCACTTTTTTTCACACGTCTCGATTTAAACATTTCAAACTGTATTTTAAAATTCCTAATGGCCAAAGGCCCTGAAGGACTAAAGTTTACTTACCAGTGACAGTGACAAAAAATATTTTCCAACTGGTTATGCTGATGCTGCGGCGATGACGACGGATGCTGCTGATAATCTGTAGTTTATAAAGTCCAGAGTCTGTGCTTCTGGTGTTTGTGATGGTCAGAGATCCAGTCTGATTGTCCAGCTTCAGTCTGTCTCTGAATCTCTCTTTACACTGATCATCTGTACAGATCTTACTCTGATCTCCAGTGATTTCAGCGATGAGAATGTCAGTAAAATACCACGTCATCACATTATTTGGTTTTCTTATTACAGCAGGATCTAAAGTGACAGATTCTCCCTCCATCACTGTCTTTCTCTTCACTTCATCCAATTCAGCAGCAGGAACTTCTGAAACACAAACCAACAGCAGCTGGAGGAACTTTTTGGGGGAACTATAGAACTGTGGGCATGAAAGTGATTGCACATTCTTACTGTTTAAGTGACTTTAAGTGTGCAATACAACATTTGTGCATGTATTGTGCTAATAAACACATTTTACATACTTACATTACATCAAATCTTTTTTTAAACAGCTGACAGATCAGAGACAGATCCACCAGCACATGACTACAGCTTTTCTGAACCAAAACTTATTTATAAAACTATCAGCTTATCAATGGAAATAGTTTAGTTTTCAAACTGTTCTGTTTGATGAGAAAAAAAAATCAACAACCATTAATATGATTTAAACATAACTGCTTCTGCTTGAGTCATTTAATGAATGTTTCACGAAATGACTCACCAAGAACAGTAACACTGAAAGCCTTTTCACTGATGCTGTGGTTATTAATGATCTTTAGCTCATAAACTCCAGAGTGTGTGGTGTTGATGTTCATGATGGTCAGAGATCCAGTCTGTTGATCCAGCTTCAGTCTGTGTCTGAATCTCTCAGTGCCTTTATTGCACTGAACATCTGTACAGATATAAGTCTGATCTCCAGTGATTTGAGCTATTCGAATGTCATTAAAATACCATTTAATATCTAGGTGGTTTGTTTTAACACCAGTCTGTAGAGTGACTGAATCTCCCTCCATCATGGTCACTCTGTCTGTACCAACACTGAAAACACCTGGAGAAGAAATTAACAGTTCATTATAAATGATGACTGGAATAGTGGGACAAAATTATAACAGGAAAGGGCTGTGAATTTTATTTATTTTTATCTTCAGATCATGAAAATTAGTTGCTTAATTGGTTGCTTTAAATGTCAGTCAGAGGGCCTCTTGGGCAGCCCTTGGTCAATGAAGGTTGCTTCAGAACCTTTGTGAAAGATGTGTTTGGAACCAGTGGTTCAGCTGTGTATCATACCCCCAAAGTCACATTATTTCAGTCGAGTCGCCTTTATTTGTATAGCGCTTTATACAATACTGATTGTGTCAAAGCAGCTTTACAGTGTCAAACTGGAAAATAGTTTATCAATAATGCAAGAAGACAATTTCCGTAATTATGACACTTTGTTATAGCTGTTTTGAAATGTTTCCAAAATTTCAGTGATTTGCCTCTAGGGGGTGATGATCTCTGTAAACCCATGAACTATAGTGTCAACATGTTTATTTTTATTTTTTTATTACATGATCTCAGATCAATTTTATAAATTCGTAGACTTTTAATGACACATATGTATAATAAAAGGGAAGATATGTAGTTAACAGTCTCGTCTTATTAGTCTGAATAAGAAGCTCTCCATAAAACAAACTAAACAAGTCCAATACAATTTAATAAGACAATGACTACAGTAGTGGCTTTTACTATCTGTCTTGAAGGGACCTCCACTTGCAACCCCCCACCATCAGGTCACACACACATCAGAATCAGAAATTAATGGGGGCTTAGGACAAAAATGAAACCAAGATAAATAAAGATACCCCAAAAATTCACGATATGGGGCGAAAATGTCACTGTATGAGTTCTTGTTTGTATTGTCTGTATGAGTACATAGAAGAAACTCTCAAGCAGAAGTTCATCCGACCATCAACTTCCCCTGCCTTCTTCCCAACTTCTGTACTTCTGAGCCGAGTTACAGAAAAACTATCCAGCACCTGGGTAAAAAATATCCTCAGTGCTTCACGAGGCTTCATTTCCCTTTAGACAAAAGAAGAAGTGATCTTATTCTCTATTAAAGGGGTCATATGATGCGATTTCAAGTTTTCCTTTCTCTTTGGAGTGTTACAAGCTGATTGTGCATAGATGAGATCCCTGAAGTTGCAAAGACTAAAGTCTCAAAACCAAAGAGATATTCTTTATCACAGTTAAGACTCTGCTACGCCCCCCTAAAACGACTCGTTCTAACACGCCCCCACATATCTACATTACTATGTGGAAATATTAGTATAATGCTGCCCAAATACACAAAATACTGATCTTTAAAAAAGCATCATATGACCCCTTTAATAATGGCACCACATCGCCATTTGTTTTAGTCGTTTACTGCAGTGATTCTCAAACCTCCAGAACATTTTGTATGTCTCCCTGATCTGACACACCCAATTCAGGTCTTGCAGTTTCTACTAATGAGCAGATGAGTTCAATCATGTGTGTTAAATGAGGGAGACATACAAAATATGCAAGTGCTGGGATTCCTCCAGGACAGGTTTGAGAAGCACTGATTTACAGGAAATGAGAGTGTAACAAATAGAAAGATGTCTTACCAGACACAAAGAATGCAGTCAATGCGAGTAAAATAAGGATCATTTTCACCACTTTTCCACTGAAATGAAATGAATGCAGATTATGTTGAAACAAAAGTGTTTAGTCCCTATGTTGACTCCATTGCCATGGAAAGTGGAAGCAAATTGTCCGCTGTCCACAGAGTCAGTGGGTGGAGTTTGATGTCCAGCTGTCCCTTTCTGGCTATTGTCCTGCCGAGTTTCGCTCCTCCAACCCTAATTAAACACACCTGAACCTAATCAAGGTCTTCAGGATAACTAGAAGGCTACAGGCAGGTGAGTTTTATCAGGGTTGGAGCAAAACTCTGCAGGGCAGTGGCCCTTTAGGACCGAGTTTGCCCATCTCTGCCCTAATCCTAAACATAACCCAATCCCTAAACCTACTTAAGCTACACCTCTTTACTAATCCTAAACATAACCCAATCCCTAAACCTACGTAAACAAAACCGTGATACAAACCGAGCCGTGAGTAAGTTGAACCGTTCCACCCCTATAGTTAATAGTGATTTGGTTTTTAAATTCCAGTCTTTGGTTAAATTCTGATTCCATGTCTGAGGAATGAAAACACCTGAAAATGAAATAATAATAATAATAATAATAATTCAATAAAAATCACTGTGATTTTTTTTCTACAGATCATAAAGAATGTGAGTAGAGAAATGTGTCTGGATTCATAATGTAGCACATAAAAAAAATAGCAGATGAACATCGATTCATTCACTCATCAGACAAACATACACAAGTATAACATCATGTAATTATGATGAATTATTTCAAGTTAAAAAAGAGAAAAGGTTTATAAATTCCAATGCAAAGAGGCAGATACAGGGCATCTGGTGGCCGGAAAAAAATTATATTCATATGTAATGCCATGGTTTAACCACTAGATGCCTGTATGGCCGTTTAATAAATATAGGCCTGGTTTCACAGACAGGGTTTAGACTAAGTCAGTATTAGGCCATAGTTCAATTAGGATATTTAAGTAATTTTTATTAACATGCCTTAAAAAAACATTACTGTTGTGGATATTGAGACAAAACAAGGCCACTGACATATTTTAAGGTCAACCAGTGCAAGTTTCTTTCAGTTGAAACAGCTCAGATTTACATTTTAGTCTGGGACTAGGATTAAGCCTTGTCTGTGAAACCGGGGGATAGTGTATAGGTCTAGTCTAACCCAATTGAAGAAATTTAAAGGGTTAGTTCACCCAAAAATGAATATTATGT